TTACACCTGAGTGATTTAATTTTAGGTTTTAAAAACACAGTGGAATTCTTCTTTAATGTCTATCTGCCACGTCGGTCGTTTACTGTGTTTAGTAATTACCTACTTAGAAACACACAGAAATAAACAGAAAACGCTTTAACTCAAAACACACATCTTGAAGCCGACTCCGGATGTATTCCTTTAACCCTTCTGTTTTGTCCACAGAGACTGATAAAGGCTCTCCTGCCTGGCTGTGGCCTGTGGTGGGCTTGGCAACGGGCGTAGCTGTGGCGCTGGCCGTGGTTGCCGTGGTAGTGCTGGTGTGGAGGAAGAGGAGAAGAGAGAGGAGAGAGGGAGGACAGAGAGTGCGCCACAGGTCTACTGCTACTGACAACGGCAGTAAAGCCTGGACACAGCATTCCGCTGACCAGCGCGAGGGCAGGGGCAGGTCAGGGAGAGAGAAGGACAGAAACGGCATGAAGAAAAAGAAGAAAGGGAAAGAGATGGGGAAAAGGCGCAGGGAACCACTCGGAGAGGATGCCATCCGGATGCGGTGAGTCTTCCGCTTAAAGGGATAGTTCAGTGAATGAGGACACAGAGAGTAATTGATGAAGCACTAAAAGCTATATGAGTGCTAGTAGTTGCCACTTGTTGGGAATCTTCAAACTGCCTAATGTGAGTGAGTGAGTGAGTGAGTGAGTGCGTGAGTTATGAGCCAGGTCCAAGAGGTGGTTCACATCTAAAAATTGAATATACACAATTTTCTGAAAACATGTTTGATGTTTGAAGTTTGCTTCAGTAGTTTTGCACTGAAGCTATTCAAATTAGCAAAATATGGACAGAAATCGGGCTAGATTTTAACTATGCAACATATTTTGAGCCATTTTTACAGTATGTCATACAGCATATTTCTTAAATTTGTGTCTACTGTCGAATTTTATCTATAACATGCAACGACTTTCTGTTAGATGATGAATTGATTAAAAAAACCTACTTTAGGGTTAATTCATTTATTTCTGAGTTTATGTTTTCTGTTCACCTTTTGTTCTACATGTTTAGTGGACGCTGCCCAAACTATTCCTCCAGCACTACACCAATCCACGGCATGAAAAAGCCTGTTTATGCTGAAATCTTTCTTTCTAAAATGCAACCAATGAAGAACCGCTAGTTGAACATCACTGGTTGCTGTTGCAACTTTATATTCTCTAAAACTGAACTGCACTGTCCATATTAGACAAGGTCAGCAAGTGGCTAAAAGGCTAACAGGCAGTTTCAATCATACAGGCCTTAAATTTAGACCTTTCCAGAAGAGTCATGGTAAACCATGGCCATATTTGAGCTAGAATTTGTATCAAATGTGATTATCCAACATTGCTAGCTTGGCACTCAACAACACTACAAATTCCCATAAGCATGCTAGCAGTAATTAGCATTATGATAGCGGCTAATCAGAGAATGAAAGGCTGCTTATAATCTGAATTAAGGTTTCAGCATGTTGTAATATACAACTTTATGACTGTACCTGGTGCACAGCATAAACAAAACTAAGTAACTAAGTGAAATCACTGGAATATCCCACACTTTATTTTACAGTTAGTTCCCATTAGCAGTCGCACTTTCTCCTAAATTCAGCGCTCCGTAGACCCAAACACGTACAGTATGGGCTTGCATATGGTGAATTAAGTTTTGTCCTAATTATTGTTGTTCTAGAGCAGAAGAACCAAAACGGAAAAATCCGAAACTCTACAGTCACCGTTGCTTTCTTCATCTCGACACGTGGTAGCAATTTCTCCAGGTTTTAGGACAACATCCCCTTCATGAGTTTTAAGTATTACTTGTCATGTCATGCTGCACTGTACATAAGTCACACCCCCAAACGATGTCCCAAATCATTCAAGTACTTACTGCTAGACTAGTCAGCATTAATGGCAAAACATGACACGTTTTTCCTAGGTGGCACGATGAAGCACAGTGTCAGAGAGGGTCTCTCAGCTAGCTGAGCATTTTTATGTTTTATGATGTGTATTTGCTAATAATAACAGGTCAATTGTCAGTGTCAATGGGGTGGTGCGAGGGGGGAGGAGAGACATGATATTTTAGTTAATACTATTTCTTACCACATGCTGATGGTAAGAAATAGTATTAACTAAAAATTCTCCAAAAGTACTTACTTCTCCAAAGTAATCCTTTAAAGCAGGCATGTCAAACTGGGGATCTTCTGGTCCAAAGTGCTGTGGAGTCATCATATCTTGATTAGTATAATGTTGATTTTGCATTCAAGGCCTAACACTGAGCTGGACCTTCTTTTAGAGGTTGGGCGTGTGATGTTAATGCATAAAAACATACTACATGATACAAAAAACTCACGCATGACGTTTGAATGATTATTTTAGACTTTACAGGGCGTCTCGAACGCCCATCATATTTTAGTGTGTTCTTTTTTCTCCACACTCAGTAAGGCTACTTCTTTAAGTAGTAACAAAAATATCACATAGCGCAGCTTTAAAATAGCCTGAAAAGTGTTTTTGTCCAGCAGATGGCGTCAGGCTCTCAGAGTCATGAATCGTGCATTTTTCAAAAGCTCTGGCCAAAAGTGATTGGTGATTGGAAAATGGACAGATTGGGTCATCTTAAAAGCAAGGCACAGAGCTTAGGTCATGAAAACCTTCGAGTAATGGAGACAGAAATAGCATTTTCACTGTGTTTCCTCTTCCCAGCCCTACAAACAGAGGATGTGAAAAACTACTGTTTACTCTTCCTACTTCTGGAACTAAAATAGCCTTAGCTATCGAAACCTCTTTGACCTGCTGTCAAGCTGAGTCTGAGGAAACAGCTAATGTGTTTTTGATCGCTCCATGTCTGCAGACCACTTAGGAAGGACCTGGACATTGGCAGTGACACGGACATGACCCAGAGCTCCATGGAGGACATCAACAGGACAATCTGTGACCACAGGTCACCAGCCCAGAAACACTACAACATCAATCACCAGCAACCGCCCGTGCAAGGTAGGTGGAGTGCACTACTTTACTAGAAGTGACAAATTCACACGTAGGTCCAGGTTTCCTCATGATAACCTTCTCCTTCCTTTACTTAACAGCACCGCCAAGAAGATGGGACAGGAACAGCGCACCCACACAACAGCGGATCCCAAACAACGTGAGTCCTTTGTTCATTGGTATAAGTGGAGATATCTATACTAACATTGACGCTAGCATTATGTACAGTCTGAGCATGTGCGGCAATCTCTTAGCTCTGGGAGTGCAGCGACAAACTATTTCTCCCTATTTTTCTGTATCCCTCATCTTAATTACATCTGCAGTATTTATTGATGCTTTTTATTTAGAAAACAAGTTAAAATGTTGTTTTCTGGCAACTAGACTGAGAAACAGGGTTGATATAACAGGGTTGCCAGACAGTACTGTGGCATAAGATCATGGGAGCACATGGCACAGGTGAAACTTTACACACATTTATCAACTAAAACTTCACAATGTAGGAATTTTTTTCTATGTCGTCAAAAATATAGGTCATTGGGATATGATATATAAGACACATTGTTATTAGCGATTACACATTATAAAACATAAAACAGGTAAAATAAAAACAAGTTATATCAAAATTTGTGGCAGGCAATTAGGAGGCACTGATCTGGAATAATGACCAAAAAATATTTATAATGTAAAATGAAAAAACATCATAAATATTTATAACGTAAAATGATTTCTTTAATGGTTCCATGAAACAATTAATGATATATATTAATTGATAGTTAATATTTCATTCCCTATGCTGGAATTAATTAATAATTAATTGTTACGCCTTCATGCTGCAAAGATATCTCACTGTTCAAAGAAAACCTTTTTTTTATATTCATCAAGGGCGGGCAGTAATTCCAGACTCTACTCTATAAAGCGGAATAGGACAAGTGGTCGCATTTTACTGCTGTATTTAGAAATAAATTAAAATTAAACTTTCTATCTTTATCCAGAACCAACTCAAAAATATGCTGGCTGTCTGTATTTAAGTTAAAATCCTTTCCTAAACCTTTTTAAGTTTTCCTTCAGCAGAAAAAGAACTAGGGTCAGAATCCACTCAGTTGCCATCTTGGTAACGTCATCGGGCAGTTATTTCCAGCCATACAAGACAAGACTCATCTCTCTTTGAGTGGGGAGAGAGTTGAAAACTAGAAACTGCAGCCCAAATTACCATTTCAAAAACATATTTAAAATCACTGGTAAAAATTTGACAATCTCAAAAATAGTTTTAGCATTTGTCTCGCAACACACAAAAAACATATTTTTGGATGTGGACTGTTCTGGATACTGCACTTGTGCAGATCTCAGCAACTGAGGGGGGCTTTTCCTGCTAGCAACTTTACCAGCAAGCTAAATGGTTCTTTTTATGGAAGGGCAGGACTTTCCACACACACACACACACACACACACACACACACACACACACAGCATCACCTTCATGCAAATAACTTTCATGTAAAATCTGCTTATTTTCAACTTCCTCATTTCTTCCTCTTATTTATATGCCACAGTGAGATAACCAAGACGGTTAGTTAATGTGACAATCATGACAGCCAATATGCTACAAACGTATGCTAGCTGAGTATATTAAAGTCAGCCTTTCTCAAAGCCCACCTGCTCGGATATGTCCTCATCCTCCTAGCTTTTTCATTCTTGTCCTCTCAGTGCCACCTTGTTTTTTGCAGTTCTTGCCGCTCCTGTCCATTTTCACGATTCACTTATGAAAACTGCTACATCAATAATGCAAAAAAAGTGCTAAACCATGTAGAGCTGCCATCTGTTGTCGCGAGATTCACACCATCACACTAAATTTGATACATGAATCTATTGAGGGTGATGTTAGCTTCTTATTTGAATTTCCTTCTCAGTTACAGTCAGCAAACAGGGACTGTACCACTTGAGGTGGGGGCTGCTGGTTTAACCCATAAATTACTATAGATATACACTTGGATGTAACATTTATAGTCAGTCTGAGAATTTTAGTGCTTACATATGTTTTTACATTAGCTCACAGTAACCGGCCCAAAACGCTGCATGCCCAGGGAATTCTCCTGATTCTCCCGATTACCCACTACGGCACTGGTGTATCTTGATAAGAGTGACTGCAATATACTATAAATTAAATTACGTTTAATTCATATTCATGCTGCCCTTTTTCCTTTTGAGCCCCTGCCCCCTCAAAATGTCTGTGCATTAGCCTGTTGGCAGTAGAAAGTGATCTGCCCTAGAATAGACATGAGTATTTCTCCTGCTGAGTTCCTACTGTCTCCATGTTCTCCCCTCTGAAGTCAGCCCCAGTGCAGTGGTGCGGTCCTGATGGCTCTGTGGTGCTGATCCGTGCTGTGAGGAGTGGACTGGACCGAGTGGTTCTGGAGTTGCTGAGGGCTGGCGTGCCAGTCAACAATACTGACCACACCGGTAATCATCAGTCTCATCATCAACTCAGATTAGCGCTGTCAGCCATTGCTTGTCTATCTAGCTCTTCATGCCAAATTTCACTAGAAATTTATTTCTTTAGGTTTGCCTTTTAAAACTCCAGTCAGGATTAGCCAAAACAATGACACGGCTGCCTCAAGACTCTTGCAGAAAGCATGGCAAAAGTACATCTTGTACAGTATAGCATGGTCACTATAATTATTTAAACAAACTGCTTGGGGAAAAAATCAAGTTTTCATAAAAATGGACACAATTATGGTGCATAGGCTGGTCACAAGCAAAGCCTGCCTAGCTGATCACAAGCAGAACTAGCATCTGTTGTGTTTTGGATGCTGGTATGATGGTCAACCAGCGTGACCATGCCGAGTGACCAGCTAAACCGGCACCAGACCAGCATAAACCAGCATAAATACATTTTTCAGCAGGGTGAAGTTTCCTTTTTCCCCTGATTTGGTAAGGAAGTATACACATTTGTGGCCTCTGTGAGGCAAATCTACTCTACTAGCATTAGATAATGTTAGATCTCTTAAAGCTAAAATAAATGCTAGCTAGCTTTCACTATTATTAGCTTTAGACTAAAGTTAGCTTACCTTACCTAAAAGAAGAAGAACGAATTTAGCTGTTATCAGTTAGCTACCTAGGAAGTTAACCAGCATCTCCATATTTTCACATTAACAGAAAAAATGTATGTTGTGCAGCTAAAAACATTAGCAGCCATCTTGGAGCCAGAGTATCATATGCACTTTTGTCAATTTTTGTAGATAACAGTGAGCGGTACAATGTTAGAAACCACATAAGAAAGTCTGTTTGAGCTTATGTAATCATTTTCAAGCAGTTTGAGGAAAGCATTCAATGATTTAGCATGGTACTAATGGGTGTGGTAGAAGCTTGTTAGCTACATCAGCCTCATAGCTCCAGTATTAAGCTAAAGAAGCAAACTTCTAACATTTCTTGGATGATCAACTATATTTGGGGTGAAGCAAGAGGGCCAAAACATTATTCATAAATTATTCAAAATATGAACTTTTAAAAATATGAAAAATATAACCATTTAGAGCACTTAGCTGAACTGAGTGTCATGCTAGCCACCCATTCTGAGAGTTTGGCAATGACCCCTTAAATGTGTATAAATCTGGATAATAGTCCAGCTATAAGTCAGTTTTCAGGGTTAAGTTTGTGCTTAATGGCTGTAATCTTGACTAAATGTGATTCAGTAAATGAAGCTGCAGGTCTAGTCAGAGAAGAAAGGCTCTTTAACTTTAGCTAACTTTGTTACCACAGTGCAGCGCATTCCACTGTAATTTTACAGCAGTGCTGCCACCATCAGGTGAAAGAAAAAACTGCAACATATTGTCTGGCGGGCCACTTGTAACACACTCTAAAAGCAAGGTCCCATTTAAAAGCTGTCTGTAGGTTCCATTTGACCCTGGGGCTGGACTTTAGACAACCCTGGGGTAAGGGAAAACATATCATTATAAATTGTCTTGGCAGTGGCAGAGATACCTGACTGGGGTTTTAAAGGTCACAAATGGATGGTGTCTCATTTCATAGATGGGGAGTAATGTGTGCATTTTTCTCGTCTCCCCATTTTCTCCTCTCCCTCTGTCCTTCTCCCCATCCCATGTACTGGGGTCCTCCTCACTGCTTCTTAACGCATTGCACCTGCATCTTCTTCACTGACCCCTTTAGAACCTCTGATACTCGACAGTGATTCTGAACAAAGCTAATGTGCCGTAGCGTCTTCAGTGTGGATGCTTCATATTAACCTTCCCTGCTTTTCTGTCTCACTTTCACTCTCCCACCATCAATAACCACTCACATCCACTCCGACCTTTTTCAAATGGACTCCATTCCTGCTCTCTTGCTCCCTTTACTTGAGGCTCTTTTCTGTTCTGGGTCCCTAACACTCCTGCATTCTGCTCTCCGTCTGTCTGTATATAATGGAATCCTTTCTGCTTTTTTTGCTCTTTTCTTTTTCCCTCCTCTCTAAATCCATTCTCTCTACCAGGGAGATCCGCCCTGCACTGGGCATGCTCAGTAAATCACCTCTCATTGGCTCGGACGCTGATCCGCTACGGTGCTGCGGTGGATCTGCAGGATCACAAGGTAAATAAAACAAAAAAAGACCAAAAAAATTACCATTTTAAATGAAAATCACCTCATGGACCTGGCTTGGAACTCATGCATTCGCTCACATTAGTAAGCTGCAGGCTGTCCACAACTTCCCCTCTGCACTTCAGCTAGGTTGTACAGATGACCACAGGAAAAAAGCACTAGGGGTGCTACGGAAGAGTTTGCATCAATGACATCTATTCATATATACCACTATAGACAAGTCGACAAGTTGGTCAGCTAATGACCTACTGTCTTCCGTCTCCAGGGTGAGACAGCTCTCTTTCTCTCAGCTCTTCACGGTTGCTACGAGACCGCCAGATTCCTCCTCCTAAATGGGGCCAATCAGGAGCTGACTGACCGCAGAGGGCGAAGGCCCATAGATGTGGCCCGGGAGGGAATGCATCATCAGGTGCTTGAGCTCCTATTGGCCCACAGAGTCCACCACAGTCCGTTTCCTATGGACCCAGCCACTGAAGTGCTGTGGGATGACCGTGCTTACCTATATTCTCCATGGGCAGCATCTCCTCCTTGTCTGCCAGGCAGAAGTGCCTCCTTTTCTGGGGTCATAGTACCACGAGAGATGTCTTCACCTCCCCCCAGGTAAACTGCTATTAGAACAGTCCATTCTGAGGCACCTGATTCAGTCCCCAAATTACTTGATAGTTACCTCATGAGCCAAATCCTGGGTATTGGACTCTAAACTGTGCAGTTGAGGGTTATTCCAAGATTGAATGTCCAAAACACTGTGTAACTCAGACCACATCTTATCATGTTTGAAAATGGACCTTCATTACAATTTTCTATGATTCCCAACTTAATCACTTTTGCTCTATCACACTTCCTAACACATCTGAAACAATCAATCAAGAGATGAATACCTGGTACAAGAGTGCTGGAAGCTAAGATACAGCAAAAATGTGGACTGTTGGGAGGTCCCTGAGGACTGGGTTGGGAACCACTGTTGTGGTTATGCAGGAGCTTTGTTGTTGTATTTTATGCTTCATAGTTCACCACACATTGTCAATGGGAGGCAGGGTTGAACTGCAGGCAGGCCAGTCTAGCTCCCATACTAATTATGCAACCATGCTGTTGTAACACTTGCAGATTATGGTTTGCTGTTGTCATGTTAAAATAAACATGCCCCTAAAAAATCACTTCCTTTAGAACACAGCATATGTTGCTCCAAAATGTGTATATATCCTCAGCATTAATGGTGCCTTCACAGATGTGCAAGGTACACATGTCATAGACACTAATACACCCCCATATGATGGCAGACTGACGATGAAAACTTTATGCTGGTAACAATTTGGATAGTCCTTTTCTTCTTTGCCCCCAAGAATAAAATTTCTATTATTTCCATAAACAGTCTGAAAGTTTACTCATCAGACCACAATACATGTTTCCACTTCGCTTCAGTTAATTTCAGATTAGCTCGAGCCCAGAGAAGTCGGCAGTGACATGTATAAGGAATGTAATTTACACAGCCAATCACCAGTCTAGATTTTGAAACAAGCATTAGGAATTTAAACTTGGTACTGAACCACTTGTAATTTTTCAGTACTCTGTAGTATTAAGTAATTTGGTACCATAAAAATAGGATAGGAACAGACATAGTCTGGGACAAAACATAAGCTGTGTATAAGCCTCACAGTATTTTTCTTCTCTATAGCGACTGGCAAATGAGTAGAGGGCAGTGCACCTCACCCCAAAGCTGGCGGCCCACCCCCAACCAGTCGGCCACAGCACTGGTCAGCCCCAGAATCCTCGGCAGGCCTTCACGACCAATCAGCACGCTTCAGGAGGTCACTTCAGAAGCGGAAGAAGAAGAAAGGGAAGCATCACAAGACGTCCCACGGGCCACAACACCCCACTTCCTGTCTCCTCAGCCAGCACCCAGGCAGCGCTCCTTCTCCTGCACTCAGCACGCGCTGCAGCGTCGATTCAGCGGTAACCAGCCTGAGCAGTCCACCCACATCCAGCCAGAGAAACAAGCCAATGAGCATGTCGAGATAGTGGTCGTGCCTCATCCCAAAGCAGGCTCCAGCCAAGCCAAGGGTGAAAGTGCAGTGACGGCATCCAGCCTGACTCAGACAGACTCTGAGAAAGATAGCAAGAAGAGCTGTGAGTCAAAAGGCCCAAGTGAGGTGGTCAGTAATGACCCCATGTCGGTCCAGACTGTTATGTGAGACACAGAGAGGGTGGGTCTGTTTGATTTCAAAATGTAAATATCTGTATTAATTGCTATAAATACATATTGAGGCTATGAACTCAAAACAGTAACTTAAAGCTGCACTATGTAAGATTTGTAGCATTACTGAATCAGGAGGACAAAAAAAACTTTTGAAAAAGTTTTTTTCTGATACTTTTTCAAACCACGAACTTTTCGACATGCACACAGGCTCAAAAAGAAGGTCCAGCTGGATGTTATGTCTCAGATACAAAATTAACAGTATCCTGATGAAGATATGATGACAATAGTAGATAATTCACTCTCATCCTCAGAGGACAAGTTATGACTGTGTTCTCTATAAGTGTGTATGCAATCATCAGATTCATCCACTCAGGGAAGGGGTCCAAAGCACAACACACATTACAAAATGTTCTACTGCATGTTGCATGCAGTTACACATTTCCACCAGGGAGGTCTCCAAATACCCAAAATTACATAGTGCAGCTTTAATTTTTTTCACCATTTGAAGGCAACAGTTCTTTACACTGTGTGAACGTTTTATAATGTATAAAATGTACACACAATGCAAAGCTTGGAATTACTTGGAATAAAACATCTTTACATTAACATACAATAAAGTCAATAAAGGTCCACCTACATAAGGCATGTCAAACTGGGGACCTTTCGGGCCAAAGTGCTGCAGAGATTAGCAGTTACCCTCATCTAACACTCTGAATTCAGTTCATGAAGGTCTTCCTAATTAGCTGATGAGCTGAAACAGGTGTGTTTTATGAGGCAGTGTACTGAAGTCTGCAGTGTTTTGGCCCACAAGGACTGGAGCTTGACGTATGATCTACATCATAAGTCCTCTATAATGGGGTGGCTGTTAGTCTTGTGGTTGGTGAGGTGAACCAGTGACCAGAAGGTTGCGAGTTCATAATCCCAGACGTAGTCGTGTCCTTGGGCAATGCACCTAAACCCCGACTACCCCAGGTGGCACTGCTCTGCTGCCGATACTGTGCTGCATCCAGACTGGGCATAGTTAGGTAACAAATTTCCCATCAATAAAGTAAATAACAACATATGTGTACAATTACAGACTGTAGCCCTTCTGATAATCAGCTGTTTGACTACCAACTTATTAAACAGGAATTGTTTGCGCTCCTGCTTGATTGGCTCGATCAGATGCATTTGTTGGGTAAGAAAGCAGCAAGATCCTGGTTGAAATTAAACTCTGCATGAAAGTAGATCTCCAGGGGAAAGGTTGGTGACCAGTTGGCTACTATCCACATTTTGGGGACATCTACAATGTACAGACCTGAAGGACAAGAAACTGCAAGATTCTTCGGCGTCAATGCATTTTGAGTCACATCTAAATATCTTCCTTACCCCATGCTGGACAGACAGCTATAAAGAAAACCCTCCACTGATTGGTGTTCATTTGTATCTCAAGGAATTTTGGGCACTGTGTCCACATCGTTATGGTCCTCACCAAAGCCACAGTTAGGGTGCACAAAGGGAGCGTGCCACAATGAGAGGGGACACCCTGCAGCTTCACGATCATGGGTGCATGCACATTTGTGAACTGCAGGACCACGAGGGTGTCACTTTGGCTTAAGAACCTTGTATTCCCAACACTCATGTCCAAATTCCTTTCATCTGTAACCCCCTACCTGAGCATCTGACCCACCGACCAATGTGTGTTCATACTGCCCTCTAGTGCACAGGTCCAGACCTTGAATACAGTTTCCAGTCCAGGATATTGTAATCACTGGTAGGTATGACGCTAGGTGGTCAATCAGTTACATCAGTTTAGTTAACTACGAGTAAATACACCAAAAACTGGAACGTCCTGAAAGTTGCTGCTCTAGTGTTTTAAAATATGTCCCAGGTAAACCCAAACATAAAGTCATAAGCAAAAGTTTTGGCACTCCTGGTCGAAGTACGTTTTTTGATTTGCTAAGCGAAAAGTAAACATTTCGTCCACAGAGAACACACTTCTGCACATTTTGCTGCACAATTACTTGTTTATTTGCTGAATTTTAACACATTTGGAAAAACATACAATATGGTAATGTTTCCATTAGGTTAAAATCAGCAAATAAGTAAAAGCTGTCCACTAAAATTTGAAAATATGCCACATTTAGGTTTGTTGCCTGTAGAGGATATACTTATTTTTGCTTGGAAAATTAACAAAACGTAATTTGACTGCAGTGTCCAAACTCTGGCACGACTGTACATCGTATTATGGCTCGTACATGCCTAATCTCCCTGTACACCTGCAAGGTGGAGCTACAAGGGAGAGGATTCTAACAAAGTGACCAGTGTTGTATGTATGAACATTTCAAATGTGAACCTATGCAAGACACCAATATGACAGTCCTACAATACAAATAAATGACTAAATAAATACACAAACAAAAAAAAGAGTGGAGAACTGTTATGTGTATGTTTCACCAACCAGATATCTGTAATATGCTGATAATGCCACTTCGCATGCATGGGACAACTTTGTATACGGTCATATGCACAAGTTTGGTTCCCCCTTTCAAACATTTTGTTTATTTTCTTAAGTGAAAGGAAGCACACATGCTCTATAATTTAATATTTTGGGGGAAAAATAATAAAATTGTGGCCTGTGCAAAAGCTATGGCACATTTTAGGTTTTATTTTTCCAATATACGTCATTTGACCAGGCATGTTCAAACTTTTGCACACTCTGGAATGAAAGGCCTTCTCCCAGAGATACTGAATGTGTAACACAGACAGTCTTTATTGTAAAAGAGGTAGAGAATACAGGTGTTTCACTGTACAGAGAAAGACAGCACTGTTGATATACGCATTCAAACCGTAAATAAAGACCAAGCAAACACACCCCATTCATATAATAGATACACACAGTAAAAAAGAGAAATACACACACACAAAAAAGAAACAAAACAAAACAAACAATCTTTGGATTATTCTCTATTGCCCCCTTTACCCATGCCAATTCACCTCTATCTGAGCTTTAAAGAAACAATATAGATTAGAATAGCAGTGATAACAATAACAATAGTACTATAGTCATAAAGAAAGCAGTCTTAATGCAGTTTAAAAAGTTCCCTCTTCAGAACCCAAATATTGCAGTAACATGTAGTGGAAGTAGTGAAGTGATGAAAAATGAACTGAAAACTAAACTGAAAAAAAAAAAAAACAGCCAAATACATGATGAACCCACCAAAAACCTATTTCCTCTCTCTCGCACACACGCACACTCTCCAGACAATATGATGTACAATAATCAATAATGCGCTTATTGATTAAAAAAAAACAAACAACAAAAACAAAACTGCACTTGGGCAGAAGAGTGACCATCATTCTTTCCGTCTTCTCCTTCGTCCAGATCTCTTTCTCCTAGGCGGAGGTTAGCCATTAGTCCGAGTTTTCAGAGTGTTCACTTCCAGGTGGAGAGGGAGGTGTGTTCTGCTCCTGCCAGTTCCCATTAGTCTAACATACACACACAAGGAGAAAGACAGAACATAACCGCAATGTCAATAACCACTTGTCTACAGCACCTAATTCATGCCTTAAAGGAATCGTTCAGTGAAAAATCAAAGTTACACGGTTTTCCACTTTTCCCAGATGTAGCTGATCAGCTGAGACATGATGTTTGGCGTCCAAATTCTGCTTCTTTAGTTTAGAGCCGGAGCTACGGGGCTAACGTTGCTAACAAACGCTAGAAGTCAATAGTCACCCAAATATTTTCTGTAAATACATCCCCAAAACTTCTCTCAACACACTCAAACTGCATCCAGGGATTTCATGAAGAAGACAACATCAACATTTTGGACAACATCAGTGCTGCTATTCACAAAGCAGGACTGATCTTGGATCAGATTGGGTCATCATTACAAATACTGATTCTAGATCAGCACTGCTGCTCCTGAGGTGCTTTGTGAAGACAGACCCTCTTGTCTAAAGTGGCTGTTCTTTTTAAATAACTCATAAGAAGTTATACTGCGTCTTAAACGACATCGGCAAGCCTAATGTGGCCTCACTGAACACCTGGATGGGGTTTAAGAGACGTTGTGGTGATGTATTTTTACAGAAACAATTTGGGCTATTTGGGTGCCTACGGACTTCAAGTGTTTGTTAGCAATGCTAGCCTTGTCGCTCCAGTTCTAAACTAAAGAAGCAAAATTTGAACACATTCCCAGATGATCAAATACACCTTTTAACCAAATCATTCATTTAAAGGAATTTTAAGTTTTGCATTTTGGTAGAATTTCCATCAATTGGACAAAAACGCAGGAATAGGAGAAGCTTTAGATGCAACTCTAAAAGAAACAGCAAAGGCAGTGACTCATGGAAAGGTTCCACCATGTACCATGACCTCTTAAAAGTCCTTCTCCATGCACCTTTCCAAACCAAGTCAACAATCAAGAGGTGGCAAGAGTAGCCTAAAGCCATATACAAGTCCTAAACAAAAAGTTACCTGAATGAAATATTGACACAAGGGGAAGTAAAAGTAGCTACCAAAACTATCAGGTCCAAAAATTTATGGGGCCATTTGTATGAATGGTGTGGATGCAGAAAAATGAGGCTGACCGATTAGATGTTTATGAAAGTGAAACTTGACGTGAGAATGCTGTACTCCCCTGTATACTCCTGAGATGCGTCCAAATATTTTTGGGGAGATTGTAAAATTGGACAAAAAATACTGGTGGCAGATTAAACTGGAAATGTGACTTATCCTGAATAGTCTGTTCATGACTGAAAGCAGCGAGCACATTTTGTGCATTTCAAACAGATACCCAGTGCTAATCAGCTAATGAAAATACTATTAAATTAGGTTATTTAATTCACTGGTAATATAATTTATTTGGATTTAGGGTTAGGTATCATTAAAACGTTTTTGACAGATACTAACACTGATACCCTAACACCTTAATCAAACCAAAAGTGGGAGTGGCTTAAACCAGAAATTACTGTAACGTGCAGGAAGTGGGTACGTTTACTGACCACAACAGACAGCCAGTTAGGAGTCTAGCTTTGGAACAAGTTATCTTATGCAAACATTTGGGCGCCAGTGTTTAAATTACATATTTTGTTGATTTTCTAAGTGAAAATAAGTTAACACATCCTCTACGGAGAACACACTTCTGCACAATTCCGTACACAAGTTAAATTTGTTCCCAAAAAGTTTAACTCAGCAAATAAATAGAAATAATGCACTAAAATCTGCAGAGGTTGTACAACTGTAAGGTTCTTCAAACCTTTGGATACGACTGTATTTGAACTTGAGCTGTGTCGGTAACAGTTCGGAGCTAGTAAGTATTGACAGCTAGACAAAAACAAGACTGCTAATCAGCCACTTTCTACTTCAGCTGTTGCATGGCAGTTAACAGTCAGCTAAAATATTATGATCGTGTCAGGCCTAGTATAAGCCTGAGGAAATTGAGCTTAAGTACTTGTAAGCAAGTTAAACAAGATATTATTCCCCACCTCTGCATACACAAGCATTTCTGAAGTCATTTAAGCCTTGAGTACACTACATGACTTTCAAAGTCTTAACAGACTATAAAAAGACTGGGCATCTCACACTATCCGACTGGTTTTTTGCAGATTTGCTTTTGGCGAATGGAATATTGTGGCTCACACATTACACGATTAGGAATCACACACTACTTAACTTTTAAGCCGTTGTTTAACCGAATAGAGCTGAACTCGTGTGAACTCTCACAAACTCTCGCATTCTCCCGTCACTAGGAGACGCAAATAAACAAACTACTGCTGCTGCTGTTTTCTCTGCCGTTTGCGCCGACACAGTAAAGAAGCAACAGGCAAACATGTTTAAGTGAGAATCACGGATTTCATGTAATCAGTGTGGTATTTTTTTGTTTTTAAATGCACATAAACCCGATTGTGCTCGTGCCTTAAACTCAGCTCACTAAAAAGCTTTGCTCCACATGTGAGAGACTATACAATATTTTTCTTTGTTTACTTGCTGTATTTCCATCTTGCACACTCGGTTTTTATTGGCTGTTGCAGCAATCCGTTCAGATTGAGTTGTTAGCCAGTTTACACTAGATCACACTCAAGAGTCGGGTTGAAAAAAAAAAACGTCAACATGTTTAATAAACTCCGACTGCTCTGAAACACGATTGGGAGGCCAAAAATCTGAGTCTGCTCCCCTCACACACTACTCGACTGTCTCTACAATTGTGGACTCCGACTGACCCAAAAATCTGCATACTAGAGCCAATTAGCACAGACTCGGCCAGACTGAGAATCAGGGTAAAAGTCGTGTAGTGCAATTCCTGCTTTAAGCATATGAATCTGTAAAACAGCCGATCAGCTTTTAAAGAAATATTCCAACATTTTTCAATCTAATCTCCATCTGCTTAGTACATTACTTTGGACAATTATTTGGATGCATTTCCCTAAACAGAAAATTCAATGTGTTTAAGTGAACAGGTTTTTCTTTCTGTTCTGCAATGAAACTGTTGTCCATGGTGATTGAACATTTACTACAGATGCAGCAGATAAAGCTTAAGTTGAAAATCACTGGAGTATTTCTTCTAACCAGCACAATCAGTACGAGTTTACTCATATGAGCAACAGTTGACCATCATGACTCTACTAGTATGAGCATGCATGTAATGAGCTCCTCACCCGGCTCTCTCTGGGACTATAGAGTCTTTCTGAAAAGCGGGACTGAGAGAGCGAGTCCTACCAGAGAGAGAGAGGACAAGGAAGTTTAAGTGCGTGCATACACACACAGACACACACGCATACATACATACAACTCCTTTCTTATGCCAGTTAACAGAAAACAGCAGCATTTTTCACTCTCCATCTGCCGCATCTGTAGTGTGCAGACAAATACCACAAATTTAATCTTCCTGTACTTAGTAAAGGAACAGAAAGCCTGTTTAATCAGAACACACTTACGATAGAAGATCCCTGCCCATTGGCTTCTATTACAATCAGGGCTGTGCATGAACTGATTGAGCAGGTAGCACTGGCATTACAAATGTTTCTAGTGTTGTAGCACAAACCAAAATTGTAGCAGTGAGATAAAACTGGCATTCTAAAAGCTTTAGCTGATCTGCTTATTAGGATTAATGTAATTTAGTGAAATGTACAGAATTACTTTTCTCCATAATATTTCCTACACAAGGTGGCGCTGTAAGCACTCAAGTAGAGTTCTTGTGCATTGAGAAGAATTCACACCAGAAAGATCTCACTAATTCACAAATGGTTGTAGTCAAAGAAAGTCAAAAAATGGGAACAAAAATGGTTTATTATCTGAAGGTAAGGCTCAATATTATATAATTATGTGAATTATAACTTAAATCAATTACTTCTAAAAAGAATGTCTTCAGGGTTTTTTTTTTTTCCAGCAGATAAATGATAAAATCCCAAATTGTTGCTGGCTTTATATATGGCATTACAGCCCCAAACTGAACAATTTTTGGGCATTTGTTCTTCGTAAAACACTTTTGTTTACAAATATTTGGCCTTGTTCTATAGTGTTTAAACTACCTGATGGACTACAGCTACCATAAACACACTACAACTTAACCTACATCGTAATTCTTCGTTTGCATGACCACCCCTGAGGAAATGGCTTGGGTAGTGAGGAAATGTTAGATCTTGCACACACACCACATAGTGAGAACAATTTATGAATAGCTGACTACAAAAAATTCTATGCAACTTCTATGAGCATTAGGACTTACTAGGAGACATGAACAGCACACACACACACGGCTTTTCGCACGGGTCACAGTGACCTTCTTGTATTTGTGCAGGATTCATTTCTCTTCACATGGGTGACAATGTTACCGCGCTGTACATCCTTGATTATGAGTGTTTTGAGCCAACAGGTTTTCTGTTCTTTTCAAAGTACAGAGAAATTTCATCCATGGCAATTAACTGTATGCTACAGATGCAGAAAATGGATACTGGATTGAAGAAGGCTGGACTTCTTCTTTAAGCCATTTCACACACAAAATAAAACAATGGTTCAATGTGCATGCACACATGCATGCACTTGGAATGACATCATGCAACTCAGGGCAACTGAACACCAAAATGACATTTAAAAAGGTCTAACCTGAGCTCCCATGTGGTAGCCAGGCTGTTCTCCATTCACTGGAGGAACTCCAAGAAAGAGATCAGCTGACCCTGAGAGCGAGAAGGACCCTG